ATGTTGCACTGGATGGCCAGAACTCCAACTCTTACCAAATAAATGCTAGTGTGCCACAGGGAGCAATCCTTTCGCCAACTCTTTTCCTGATTTACATAAATGACCTCATAGATAAAACAGTAAATCCACTTTATTGCTTTGCAGACGATGGCAATGTAGTCCCCTCACTCATACCACCCACAGGTCTTTCCGCACGTGAATTCCATCATCTTAGACTAACTCAAATATCGCAGATAAATAACGACCTGGAGATAATAGAGGACTGGGGTAACAAAAACCTTGTACAGTTCAACGCGCAGAAAACCCAAGCAGCTCTGTTTTCAAAAAAGACCAGCACCGGTGAGCCAAACATCATGCTATCTGGAAGTGCTGTCACATTACAGAGTCAGTTGAACATCTTGGGGGTTACTGCAGAGACCAACATGTCTTGGCACAGTCACGTGGCAGATATTGCTAAAAGGGCCTCCCAAAAGCTGGGGGTGCTATTTCGTACAAGACATCTGTACACACCAAGCCAATTGCTGACACTCTACAAAGCCCAGATTCGACCAACTATGGAGTACTGCTCACATATATGGAGTGCAGCACCCAAACATACCTTAATGCTTTTGAACACCGTGCAAAAACGAGCTATCAAGCTGATCAATGACCCCGCACTTACTCGTAACTTGGATGGCCTCGAACATCGCAGATCTGTGGGCGATTTATCTCTCTTCTACAGGTACTATCACGGAAAATGCTCTGAAGAGTTGGCACGTATGATTCCACCGAGAGTAGCACCTACCAGGCGAACCCGTCAAACAGACGGTAACCATGAATTTACTGTCAAACTAGAGGCACCAAGAACCTCATTATATCAGAATTCATATCTCTGGAGAACAGCATCACTGTGGAATAAACTCCCTGCGACGGTTTTCCCTGCAGGTTACAACCTGAACCGTTTCAAGACCAACATACATTGACATTTCCGCGCACTTGCCGCTTCTCGAGCGTGATAGGACATTTCCTTGCGAGTGCGCATATCCGTAAAAAAAAAAAAAAATATTACGTCAACTTGTGACTTGTCATTTATTGCATCATGAATATATTGACAAAATGTGATTAAGTTGGTGAAAGTTGACTTTTTAGGAAAAAAACCATGTTGGCATGATGTTATTTTGCCCGAAATTTCACTATACAATCGATCAAAAATAATTATCTCAAAAACTTTAGAGATTGCACATACAATTGAGATAGGACGATAATTTTTTATGTCTTTCCTGGCACCAGCCTTGTAGACAGGTATAACTTTGCTTGTTTTCCATTCATCAGGGTACACAGACGTTTTCAAAATAAAATTAAATAGAAATTCAAGAGGCAACGCCAAATATTCACTGCAGCCCTTTATGATATAAGCAGGTACTCCATCAGGACCTATTGCTTTGTTACCCTTAATCTTTATGATAGCCTTTTGAATTTCAGTCATGCTAATCAAATTGTCGCAGAAGTGCGACTTTACAGGAAATTTACTGCAAGTTACGTCAGTATCATCAATAAAAACTGATTTAAAAAAATCCGCGAAGCCGTTAGTAATGTTTTGAGGTCCAGTGTACGTTTTGCCATCAGAAATCATTTCCTGAAGAACATCTGGATGATCCTTAAGGCCTTTTACATATGACCAAAAGAATTTATGGTTTGATTTTAAGCTAATTTTTACGTCATGCAGATATTTAGAGTAGGCTAATTTCATTTTGTCTTTAATTCTGTTCCGTAGGCCCACAAATTTGGACCTCCAGTAGTTTGATCTGTATTTTTTTGATTTCAGAAAGTACTTATGCTTCCTCTTAATGAGAAAAATAATATGTCTATCAAACCATACAGGATTTTTCTTATCAATTTGGGTGGACTTAGGAACACATCTTTCAAAAATGTCCCCCAGAATAGTGTAGAAGGCGTTTATGGATGTATTTACATCTGTACCGTTTTTTAAGATATCCCAATTTTGATTTTTAAAAAGGTGGTACATTAACAGAAAATTGGCTTTTTTAAAGTTAAATTTGGTGGTAGATACAACCTTACAGGCAATGATAGGGCATTTAGTTTTTAGACAGACACTAAGGCAGGGATGTTGATTGTCTATAGGTATTAGACAGTCATCTGTCCTATTTACACATATGTTATCAAATGAAGTTATAGCTAGGTCAAGTATAACATTATTATTATTATTATTATTATTCTTATTATTAACCAATAACCCTGTACAGGGTAGTCCAATTTGGACACTTTTAATAGGAAATGTCAATTTCTGAGTCCAAAAACTTGAGCGCCTTAATCTGAGGCTCAAATTTCATGAAATCTTGATTGGCGCAAACCGCATTTTGATATCTTCATCTATTTTGTTGCTAGAGAGCGTGTTTTGATTTTGAGTAATACTTACTGTGAAAGCTTCATAGCTTTTTTTTTAAGGAAAATAATTGATTTCCGTTCCAACTTACTAATAGCTCGTTTTCAAGCAGACTCCAGTGACAGCCCTCGATTTCGAAGACTAAAGTCCGATTTGTTTTAATAGGACACCCTATCCAATATTAATAACTAATTGGATAGCTCTGCCTTTGAGTGACAAAGGTCTCTTTCTATTCTACCACATTGTTTTTTATAACAAAAACACATGAGTATAATTTTTCTCTCGAAAACTGTTAGCGATAATCCTATCGAACGTTATATGATTGAATTCAGCAAAAGCAAAGCTGTCCAATGAGTTGTTATTATATGTATAGGGTGTCCTCTATTTAGGAAAAATGGGACATCAATTTCCGAGTTATTCCTAGGGTTACTCATTAAAAACAACAAGGTGGAACAAAGGTAGAAATTAATTTTGGTTTTATAAACTGTTATTTCATCCCAAGAACTCAGATTTTTTGACATTTGTCCCACTACCTTCACTTTTCTTGCTTGTTTATTTGTTATATACTTATTATAGTGTTTAGAGAATGTTAAATTATCATCAATCATGCAACCCAAGTACCTTCTTGAAATTATGCACAGTTGCAATTATCTCATTGTTAATTTTAACATTCAAGCTGTTTGGTAAGTTTACATTACAATTTCTATTTGTTAGAATCATCATTTTTGTTTCACAATAATAATTGGTATTTCGCCATTAAAATAACTTATTCAGTGCTACATTTAATTTATTCCTTCAATTCAATACTTTTTAATTTAAGCAGTAATAGTGGCCTATTGATCGTTTCATATGCCCGTTTACAAGTCCAGGAATACAACACTTATACCTACCATACTTCCTTTATAGGTCTTGTCATTTCTGGTGCAAATTCATTCAATGCTCTCATATTTCCTATTAAACTGACAACCAAGATATTTGTGTCTGCAAAGTTTGATCTCCAATTTATATCCATCAATTTGTGTTAAAATTGAAATTATATTCAAATTATTACATGTTCTATATATTTTTGTCTTATTCATTTTTTTTTGGTGTAAACACTCATATTTAATGGTTTCTGGTTTGTTGGAATAAGGTTAATTTTTTTTTGACGATTTGGGTGTTAGGTATACGTGTAAAACTGTCCACCAGCTGACAAATACCATTGTTATTTATCATATTTTTCATTTCATTCGCATCAAAGATTTCATTATTGGCAACGTCATTGTTAAAGTCTCCAACCATTAAAAATATGTCGCCCGTCCGTATTTATGTTTTCAACAAAATCCTCCAGTTTTTCCAGAAAATCAGCATTATTTTCTGTTGGGGTGTGACACTATACAAATGATATTTCTAACCATCAATACCTAATAGTTGCCTCAATTCCAGTTATCCATATTTTGTTCAATGCCTAGTTAATTATTTGTACTTATGGCCCGTTTTTTATATAAATACTTGTTTCACCTGTATGAGAACTAGATGAACAAGTATTTTTTTCTTATACCTGTTTAACCACTCTTTTGTATGCCTCACCATGATCTATCAAATGCTTATGCCTTCAATCTGAAGATGGCATTCTTAACACTTCTGATGCATGGTTACAATAATTTATGCAACATGCTTCCTTCGACCAGCATTCCGCGTCCTTATGTTCATTATCTTATTACACAAGTTTGACATGAACGCTGTTCTTTTTTGCATTCTTTAGTTATATGTCCAAATTTCCAGCAGCTGAAGTACTTCTCAATATTCAAGCTATCCTTATAACTCTCCTCGCGGACACCACATCACTTATCTATGTATGTCATCATACGTCATAAAAAACAAGATTAGTTTATTTTTTCAGAGGGAAGTTCAAATTAGTGGAGTTTACTAGCCGTCCTAAGTATACCTATTGTTTGCCCAGCGGTTCTGAGTCTACGGAAGGAATTCGGACGTAAATGTGCGATGTTGCCAAGTTTAGTTATAAAAAAGCGAAAATACTAGCATGAAGTATAGTTCATTTGAAAATCCATTTTTTTAATAACAAAATGTAGATAACAATAAAACGCTAAATATTTCAACGCGGTTGTTAGATCTATGCTTATTTAAATAACTGATTTCTTTAATTATGTCTATTGTAAAAAAAAAAAACATTTCCTAAAGAATCCATCAGTTTTTGACAATTTGGCAAGGATTCGGTCTGGATGAACCTGATTGGTGGAGTTTTTGACAGGATCGCCGTTGCCACAGGGAACCATGCAATTGTCAGTGAGCTAACATCACCTTACGTATCGCTATTAGCCAGGGCTCTTGTCATTTTATCCTCCCATCTTGGAATATCGATTTATATTGAAATATCTAGTGGCGGCGGTTTGGTCATTGTCGATTTTCGTGTACGAGTTGCAATACGATAACACTTCCAAAAAGTTCCGCACGCAGCTGGGTATTTTATGAATGAAATCAGCCATTTTTTTTTACAACAGCATTCCCCTTACCGTTGCCCTGTAGACATAGAGTCGCTGGGCAGACATTACATACACTATTAAATTTCAATTTCCTGATATCCTGTTTTCATGTCTCATTGTGTGTATTGTTTTAGGGTTATCTCTTCATATCAGTACTAGTAAACACAAACAGTGAGCTTATAAAACTAATCATCCAAAGCATAAAGAATGATCTCGCCTCGAGAAATCCCATCCATGTCAACTTAGCTTTACAATGCATTGCCAACATTGGCAGTAGAGAAATGGCTGAGGCATTTGGCACTGATATTCCAAAACTGCTTGTTTCTGGGTAAGGTTTTGTTTACTTCAAAGTTAATTTTGTATTTAAACTAGCTGTATATTCTAGTGATACAATGGATGTGGTGAAACAAAGTGCTGCATTGTGCCTGCTTAGACTTTTCCGAACATCTCAAGAAATAATTCCAGGGGGTGAATGGACTTCTCGTATTATACATTTGTTAAATGATCAACACATGGGTGTGGTAACAGCAGCTACAAGCTTAATTGACGCTCTAGTAAAAAAGAATCCAGACGAATATAAAGGATGCGTTTCTTTGGCTGTATCCAGGCTTAGTCGGGTAAGTTTTGTATTTAAATTGCAAAATTTGTAGTACTTATGGAGTTTTTGTAGATTGTAACGGCTAGTTATACAGATCTGCAAGACTACACATATTATTTTGTACCAGCACCTTGGCTCTCTGTTAAATTACTTCGACTTTTACAAAACTATACCCCACCAGGTAATACTTTATAATTATTCTATATTAAAGTTATTTTAATAAATATTATTTTTAGCTGAAGACCCTGGTGTACGTGGTAGGTTGAACGAATGCCTTGAAACGATATTAAATAAAGCTCAAGAACCACCCAAGTCCAAGAAAGTTCAACACTCAAATGCTAAAAATGCTGTTTTGTTTGAAGCTATAAGTTTGATTATTCATAATGATAGGTAAGAGCTGTAATTTATTTATCCATTCTTTTCTTCGTTTTTTTATTAAAATGTGTCAGAACATAATAAGGAGTCAATATTAAATTGATTTATCCAAATTGCATTAATTGAATTATTCAGCTAAAATGATACATTTACATTTTTTTTAGTGAAGCCAATTTGTTAGTAAGAGCTTGTAACCAGCTAGGCCAGTTTTTAAGTAATAGAGAAACCAACTTAAGATATTTAGCATTGGAATCAATGTGCCACTTAGCTACTTCTGAATTTTCGCATGAGGCTGTCAAGAAACACCAAGAAGTTGTTATTCTATCAATGAAAATGGAAAAAGATGTATCAGTTAGGCAACAGGCTGTTGATTTGCTTTATGCTATGTGTGATAAGAGTAATGCGGAAGAAATTGTTCAAGAAATGTTGAATTATTTGGAAACCGCGGATTATTCTATCAGGGAAGAAATGGTGTTAAAAGTTGCTATTTTAGCAGAAAAATATGCTACAGATTATACTTGGTATGTTGATGTTATTTTGAACCTAATCAGAATCGCTGGTGATTATGTTTCTGAAGAAGTATGGTACAGGGTAATACAGATTGTAATCAACAGAGATGAAGTACAAGGTTATGCTGCTAAAACAGTCTTTGAAGCTTTACAAGCACCAGCATGTCATGAAAACATGGTTAAAGTTGGTGGGTATATCTTAGGAGAGTTTGGAAATTTAATCGCAGGTGATCAAAGATCATCTCCTTCTGTACAGTTCCAGCTACTCCACTCAAAGTACCATCTCTGCTCTCCCATGACGAGAGCTCTATTGCTTTCAACTTACGTTAAGTTTATAAACTTATTTCCTGAAATTAGAACCCAAATTCAGGACGTTTTCAAACAGGACAGCAATCTTAGATCTGCAGATGCAGAACTACAACAAAGAGCCTCAGAATATCTTCAGTTGAGCATTATTGCTAGTTCCGATGTTTTAGCAACGGTTCTGGAAGAAATGCCTGCATTTCCCGAGAGAGAAAGTTCTATCCTGAACGTTCTTAAAAAGAAAAAACCTGGACGAGTCCCTGAGAATGATGTCAAGGAAAATAAGAGTCCTACGCCTATGGCAACAGTGCACCATAACAACGAACTGTACACTAGGTATGTTAATAATAGGCGTCATAAAATTGAACCATAGTTTAAAGTGAGAGATTTTCCCATTGGAACAAACTAGAATTTTCATCGATGTTCCGTTTTCAAGTTTTTTCCAGGTCGATGGATAACTTTTTTTATACAGTGCGTGCCAAATTAGAGAATTATCCATCCATCTCAAAATGATTGTCTTTCTTTTTGAAGAATTTAAATTAAATCGTCTTTGAACATTTTGCCAAGTTAGAATAAATGATTAATTGTTTGATGCCACAGTAATTGATTTATGTTTTGGAACAGTTGGAACTTTTTCTGATGGATATATAAATAAGCAAAGCTGGTGTAATATCTCCAGTTCAACCGGTGTATAGATCTAAACTGATATTTTTTTGGATATACCTGTTGGTAGAACCACCTATATAAAAATAGCATGCCCTGAAATTTTTTGAATTTTTCCTATAAAATAAACAATTGAAAAAAATTCTAGCTTGTTTCCATGTGAAAGTATTTTTATAATACACTATTCATTATAATTTTTTTTTAGAAAATTATTAATATTATACATTGCATGTTTTGCTTTAGTGCCACTGGTCAGGCGGACCTTCTTGGTTTATCAACTCCTCCTACATCTCAGCCACACAGTTCCAGTAATACCGGAGTTCTTCTAGATGTCCTAGGAGATATTTATAGTAAACCATGCAACAATGTTTCTGCACAAAATTCTTCTATAGCTGATTTCAAAAAGTTAGTAAATTCATTTATTATGTAACAGAATCAACCTATAATGAACTTGCTACTTATGAAAACTCTATCATAATAAACCATTGTCTAGGTTCCATTACATGAAGAATAGTTGAGCTCCAAGCGGTCTATGATTTAAACTTTATTGTCTCCAACACTTGACACTGAATTGATCCATTAGGTTCCTAGATTTGAGAAGAAGTTTTTATCTCGTAGAGACAAGAGCGTTAATCAGCGTTATTATGTTTTTGTAATTAATTTTGCGTTTCTTCTCGCTAAAACGCAGTGTTAGCGACCAAGTTCGAAATTTAGCTCCATGAGCATAATTTCTGGCTTCACATAATTTTACATTCGTTTTACATTTTGTGTTCAATATTATGAATTAAATTATTGCAAAAAAAAGTGCGACTATAAATTAATACAGATATTCAAGCTGATGTGTCTCTCCTTCACACTAGCGTCCACGTTCGGAGAAGCGAAATGTGTTCCGAGTGACCTAATATTGATTTTACATTTGACGTGAACAGAGTGGACATACAACGTGAATTATCATTTCATGGAAAAAGGAGCTGCTCAGTGTCAATTGGCGTCAATTGTGCTTTTCCTGTCTACGCAGCAGCTTATTCCTTAGTTGGTTGATAGCTTTTTCAGAGATGTGGGTATTACTCTGGATCCAGCTCTTTCATATATAGAGCATACAGCAAATACGATTGGCAAGTCACTTATGATGTTGGGTTTCGGTTCCATAAAAAGAAACTCTAGAGTTTCTCACTATTACTTCCCTTTAGATTCTCTATTGCCGCATTGTTCAACTGAAGTTGGACTATGCCATCTAACTTAACATCTGAATGCATTTTTGACAGAAATTATCCTATTTTTACATTCATTTAAGCTACTTTCAAATGAGAACACAACACTTACACCCAATGAAAGCATCAGGCAGTTACAGGTTGAACATATTTACAGGAATTAAATTGTAGATTTTAGGTGCAAGATAAATTATGGAATACTTCTCAAGATTGCTTCGATTACTTTATGGCATAATAATGTGTTTCTTTGCTTTGATTCTATAGTTTGATAGTTATAGTTGATGAAAATCTAAGACAAGAATGTAAGATCGCTTTTCCCCTAAAATTAATCGTTTAGTTTCTACAGCCTGTCAAAGTTGCAAAAAAGTCAATTTTCAACTGTCTATATTTCCAAAACAGTTGAACTTAGGTATAGGGTATATGGTATATCACATGGAATTTGGTCAAAATTTTACGTAGAATCGAAATATGCAATCGCATACAGGGTGTCTCATATAAAATAAGCAAGTTGATTGGTGTCTACTTCCGGTATAACCGGAAGAGCAACCATCTTCAAAATATTTTAGCCGGGTTGCCCTTATTGACATAAGTATACTTCCAAATTTTCAAAAATTTTCTGCATACAGTTTTTCATATAGACCGATTTGGTTCCTGGTGGGACACCCTGTTTAACGGACGTATATCCCTAATGTCCTTAAAATACAAGACTTGTTGAGTATCTTTCGTTTTTTTTTTTAAATTATATAATGTACATTACTTATTTATTAAATAAAATGACCGCCTCTGTTTTGTTATACTTGGTTTTTCTTTGAGGCATGGCAACATCTTATCACTCCTGTATAATAGATGCAGTAAAACATACTGAAATATTTCCAGATTCGTATGTAAAAATAACGGCGTCCTTTTCGAAAACGACCTCATTCAGATTGGTGTAAAAAGCGAATTCCGTCAAAACCTTGGCCGTCTAGGTCTATTTTATGGAAATAAAACCAGCACTGCTCTACAGAATTTCGTTCCTTCTCTTGTATGGGCTGAAGAGCAAGCTACAAAATTAAGCGTCCAAATGAAGACTGTGGAACCTGTATTAGAAGCTGGAGCTCAAATTCAGCAAATGATTAATGCAGAATGTGTTGATGATTATACTGGTAATAATATTATAACAATATTATACATCTTGTGAGATTTATATAAATTGATGTTTTCAGATACCCCTAGTATATCAGTCAGCTTTATCTATAATGGAGTACCACAGAAGATTTCTATCAAGCTTCCACTCACTTTAAATAAATTCTTTGAACCTACTGAAATGAATGGAGAGTCATTTTTTGCCAGATGGAAAAATTTGGGAAAGTGAGTACTATATCTACAATTTAAATTAGAATTTTGATAACAGACTTATTTTAATTTTACTAATTCTCAGTACCAACCAACAACGATCTCAAAAGATATTCAAAGCCTCCACGCCCATGGATTTGCAGGCTGCAAGAACAAAGATGATTGGCTTCGGTATGCAACTTCTTGACGGTATTGATCCAAATCCTGATAATTTTGTTTGTGCTGGTATTATCCATATGAGGTCCCAACAAGTTGGTTGTTTACTTCGTTTGGAACCAAACAAAGATGCTCAAGTAAGTTTTGCTTTGTATAAGAATTGAAGAACATTAAATGAGCCCTTATTCGCGGCATAATGATTTTGCATTTTCATCAAGATATTTTTATTTTAATTTTTGTTCCTTTTCACAAAAAATAAATAAATCACAAATAACTTCATACAGAATGTAGTATATCCTCCATTCATATTACCACTTTGCTCATTAGGTAATTACATTATAATGGTTGACAATAGATTAGGATTATTCGATTTCTTGTAACACATTTTTGGTTAATAGAGAAAGTTTGGAGTTTTGAGTTAGAAGTCAGAATTTTGAGCATTATTATTTTCTAGTGATTCTAAATAATTGGGTCCAAGACTTTTATTTTATTTTAATGTTATTGGGTGGTTTATTCCAAATCAAATCGAATGTATTTCAAGTTGACAAATTTATAATTATTTGTACTCTTTCACTTTATTATCGTAGGGCACACCCATTTTAACATTGGAAATGTTTATGTTCACGCGTATATGGGGATCAAATTCGAAGTTTTCGTTCAAGGTCAAAAGACGGTGGTGTCACCAGGCAAGGGTTTGGTTATATCGTTATCTGGGCGGTCAAAATTGAAAAAAAATAAAATAAAATTATATGGGGATTATGGGATAATGGGATTCTATCGAATTGGGATTTCAATAAAATAATAGATATTTACCATACAAGTGAGTTAACAGCATACTTAAGATACGCTTGTGGATTAGTGTGGAAGTTGCACAACGAGTGTGTAGCATGAGTTGTGTATCTCACTGACGTAGATAACTATACATATATTATGTGTTAAATAGGTTCCATATACTGGTGTTATCATTTCCAATGTCTCCGATGCTTGCAAGGATTGCGAAATGTCTGAATTTTTTTCGAGAGGTACTTTAGGGACTTGAAAGCAGGAAATCATTGAAACCTAAATTTCTACAAAAAAGTGTTAAAATAATTGTAACAAAATATTTTTTTTAAACAACTTTTTTTTTCCAGATGTATCGTTTGACTGTACGTTCTAGCAAAGAAAGTGTATCTGTAGAGATATGTGAACTATTAGCTGATCAGTTTTGAAAAGTCTATCTAAATTTAATCTACATTCCAGTTACTACAGCTGTCTAATTAAAATATCAGAAAAATCATCTGTAAAATATATCCTGTTATAACAATTTGTTGTTAAATTTTTTGAGACAAAGACTACTTTGAGGAAAAGTATCACCCTATATTACTAGTCAAAAAATGAAGCTCTCAATTATTACTATATAGGTTAAAAAAAAAATAGATATATTATAGATTAAAAGCATAAAAATGCGTGCTCTCTTTTTTGAAACTTGCTTCTTGGAAGACCAATAATTTTACATAGAGAAAAATCAGTCCGTACTGACCGTACTTCATTTTTTGACTAATTTTTAGAATAAGAAATAAAAAAAAAACTATTATCACTTTGTAAATTTTTTTTAGGTCCGCTTCTTTTGATTCTATTATCCTTGCACTGTTAAATGTGTTTAAAATAATAGACAATAAGTCCCCATGTAACCAAAAATGTATGTAAAAAAAGACAAAAGATTTTATCTTGTAGAATGTCTAATAGATGTACTAGGTTTGCTCTTTTCATTTTATTTTTTTTAGTTGGAGTAGTTAGGGAGGTGTTCTTGAATTTAAATACTCTTTTATTATCAGTCCGGGAATTTCAGTTTTGAAGGGGAGTAAGAAAAGAAAGTATGCAAGCATAATTTTTTTTATGAAACACAGTTGCCAGAAATTTAGGTGTTGGTATGTGGATCCCAGAATTCCTAAGAGATTGAAGGTCTGCCTGCCTACGTGAATATTTGGAACAGTACAATTTTTAATAAGCATAAAATTGCCTGATTTCAAGTTTCCTTGTACGCCTTGTGGTTTTGAAGATGCTCATACAAAGAGCCAAATGTCTAGGACCATGTAGGTGTATCATGAAAAAAAAAACTAATCTTATAGTGCTTCAAATCTTCCCAGAACTCGTTTATATTCGATAATTAATCAAGGGAATCCATGTGAACAGAAACAACCAAAGAAAAATTGATATTCGGAATATTTCCTATGTAGAAAATTTCCAGAACAGCCACTAAGTGTAGGTTGGGCCAATTTGGACACTTTTAATAGGAAACGTCAAAATATTCTGATAATATTTGTTAAGAAGATGCACTTTGTGAATTGCTAAATACTGATAAAATTAACTTTCTATTCAGTGATCTTATGAAAAATTTATAGCTTGAGCATTTTTTTCTTTCTAATTTCAATTCCTGGGCTGTAATGCATCCGATCAACGCCATTTATTAGGCCATTGATAAATTATTGTTACTTTTTATTGTAGAGAGAAAAGCTTGGCTTTATATAGGAACCTGGATAAAGGAGATTAACATTATTGAATCATCATATTATGGGGGTTCTTTTCATTATTTGATAAGTTATATGTATATTTTTTTAAAAACTGTTAGTGTGAAAAACAATAAAATATGATTTTATTTAAATTTCAATGAGCTATGTGGTAAACAAGTTAGATCAATGATATCTCCCATTTAACGTTAAAGGCACCAAAATAACAGTATATTATAATTTAAGATGATTTAAAAAGGAGGGAGTTGATGATACTAGAATTAAAATATTTATTTCTATTTTGTTATCCAGGGTTGAAACAACAGTTGCTTAATATCTACGAATTTATTTGATGATCATTTTTGATACATGTATTATTTTTTAAAGAAGATCTGCCAAGTCGAATAAGTTTCAAGCTAATGTTATTTTGCTATTTGTATTTACGTTATGTATAGTTCCATTATATTTAAAAGTATATATGTATAAACATATGATGTATAATTTATCTTTATTGTAATTAGTGTCTTATTATTTAAATATATGCTATTCAATGTTTAGCAATTAACCATACATTTTTATTATTATTAGAATGATTTCAATTATTTTTTGTTCTTGCGATAACTTTTCTCATAATCAATTACCAAATTTCTTAAGGTCTGTCTATAGGCGAGGCAAATTTGAAATTGAATGTTATTGCAAGTAGAATGGTTTGGTGCGTTGTGCTGATTTGAACTTTTTATGAATCAGATAATTTGAAAACTAATATTAATTAAAGTTTCTAGAAAAATGCCTACACCATATTGCTTTTATGATGAACCTAGTAGGAAATCACAATCTACAAAAAGATATAACACTGTCGCAAATAGTAGATATTGTCCTTATTGAATCCTATCTTTCAGAACATCGCTACTCAGTTTCATTCCTAGGAACCAAACCCTAGAAAGTACCCAATAGTGTCCGCAAATTACTTGAATTGATTTTAAAATTGGTACGGTTTGAGGGTTGAAAATATTTAAAAAATATAAACAAACAAGTTTTGAGAAAATGTGTCACAATAAGTCAGTACCTACATAGGTACCTATTTTGTAAATATGTATAGGCATCAATCCAATGTTTCAATAATATTACTTTGTTAGTGAAGCTTATAAAATATCTAGGTACTTATGTCTATTTCAATCTACCAAAAACAGGAAAAAACCCGCTTGCACTTTGCATTACACTAAAGAAATCAAAGTAACCCACAATAAATATAAACATATTACACAATTACCTAGGTATCATTATAAATTTTTCGTATTATACATAATTATTTTTCCCACGCAGGAGAATATGTAGGGTAGGTAATTTGTATTTATTGTTGACAATAATTGTGTGTATTATAAATTCAGTATGCAATTAATGCCTTATAATAATGATAATAATAATATTCTACAATTATTTTCCTTTTTGATATTTTAAACTCATAAGTCTTTTCCCACCATCGAGGTTCCTACCGATTTTAAAACAAATTTTAGGAAAAGTTTTAAAGGACCCTAGCCCCCAGTAATCACCTGGCAAGCGATGAACGGGTGGGCAACCCAATACAAGATCTTAAGAAAGAAAATTAGAATGCAATTTGAAGTTAATTTATTCATATTTTCAACCCCTGAACCCATACCGATTTTGAAACCAAATTTGAGGAGATGTTAAGAAGAAACGGTGATAATCACCTCCATTCCGAAGTCTCTGGAAAAAAAATGCCATTTGTTAATTTGTTCCGATTTTCAAGCCCTAAACTCTTACCGATTTCAAAACCAATTTTAGGGAAAGTTTACAAGGACCCCAGAAAACAACTTTCAAACGATGGATTTTCTATATCGAGAATTCATAGTAAAGACCAAGCGTTATAGACTAGCGGCCTGGCCTGTCTAGGAAGCACAAAAAAAAAACTGGGGTATAACCAAATGGGACCTTTACTAATTGAAAAAGCAGGTTTTTTCACGTAGAAAATGGAAATTGACGACAATCTCCATTGGTCGTGACCAAAGATATGGGCAAAAAACTGAAAAAAAAAGGATATATTTTTTTTTAACTTTAAACACTCATAACTTTTTATCTAGACCAGGTAGAACCAAAGTTTTTTTTTAGTTTCATTTCCCATTCAGTTTCCTATCTTTTGGTATATATTTTATTGAAAAATAGTTCAACCCATATTTGGAAAACAGTAATATTTAAAAAAAAGTCAACAAATTGTCAATATTTTTTTAAGCTCACCTTGCCATAACTTTCTTATGCAAGGAGCTATTCGCGTTATTTTTTATTCAGAAACTGCCCAATTTAATGGACTTTATTTTATCTCAATAAACATTTGGTCTATTTCTAGAAATAAAACGGTAGCGGCGTTTAACGTTGGGACGCGTGCCTATGCGACAAGGCGGGTTTTTTCCATTGTGAACGACGGGACGCTTCGCTTGCTGCACGATTCCCTTTGAACCAATGGTATTATAGACTTTGGTCTGTACTTTTGTAGTTGTAGATAGAACTTGGTTGTCAATCAAAATAATTCCAAATCCAGCTCCTTTTCTTCGGATACCAAATCGGGAACCAAAGGGCGGTTAGAGCATTCCATTTTACATTTGCATGCAATCGGTTTGGTGCCATTTTTCTTGAAAGTTTTCGCGCAAGCTAGGGAATTTTTAGCAATTATGATGCTTAAAGTGGCTGCTATTGCTTTCTTCTTTTCATATCGACTTATAATCATATTTTTCATGTTTGGAAAATGCAAACATCAACAACACGAAATTAAAAACAAAAAAGTATGGTTAAGGTTAGAGAAAAAAACAAGTCAAATTGCAAGGTGTAAAACGACGTGCAAGAAATCTTGAAAGTTTTCTTGCAAGCTGTAAAACGGCCTTAATGCACAAATATTTTTGATTCATGCAATTTTTTTCATTGCAAAATATAGATAGTATGTTCCTAATCTCTTCTGGAACTACAGGTTGACTCATCATTTTTGGCATGAAAGAACTGTTACTTTTTCCCCATCCAAACTTAAGAGTTATTCACCTATAAGTACATGCAATTTGAAGCTGTCTTATGTCGGTGGCAACTCTTGAGCAGGTTTTTTTGGTCTTGAGTGTCATTTCTGTCCTTACACAGTTTAAGTTTTGAATGAATGTGGCTTTATATAGATAGCAAACAAACTTTCTTGCGATGTCAACACTTTCCTCGATCGTTCCGCTGGAAAACTCATTCAGTTTAATCGTCTGACAGTTTTTGTAATATATCTCCCAGGCAGTTTTTTTCCCAATTTTAAAGAGAAAACTCATATCACAACATTCACAACCTGTTAACCCATGAAAGCTAGGCAAGCCTGTACTAGCTGGTTGTCCAAGTTTATTAGAAAGTGCATGTATTGGAATATATATCTTTTTGTTAGCAGTGACGCTTTAACCTTTCTCTGGCCCGTAGGTCATTTATTTGGTATGGCCTTTCATGAGTGATTTTTTTTTATGGGGTTAAATAAAATCATTCAGACGATTTCAAACTACTAACCTGGCAGAATATGAAGACAAAAAATGTTGCCAAGTAGTATTCGGTGAAATCAAAGAAAGGTACTACAAAATGATGGAAAAAGAATGGTCACAAAACTTGCTGTCTGGTAGGAACGTCCTAAAAGAAAATGATGGGATTGAGCTTCCAGCCTACCAATTACCACATATGGATTCTAGGGACTAAGTGTACTGATGGGTGCTACGGAAGAACAGCTGCATGGCTTGGGATCAAATCCATTAGCGAGGAAAATATGCATTAAGGGTTGCAACTCTGAGGAAAATTCGTATCACGTTGCCTGTGCATGTCCTACAAGCTCAACAACAACAAGGCACTACTTCGTGGTACACTGGACCCTTAAGACACTGCTCAAGTCCCTGGATGCTCGAGAAGATGCTCAAAGAAACTTACAATTTGGCAAAGCAGCGCAAACACTAACAGGTTCCTGCTGTAGTCGTTGCCAGTTGCCACGTGCCCGTGCTGCGCTAATGACGCGACGGCGATTCAGCGCAGCTCGGTGACTTCCGGATTGATGCTCGATGGAGCGAGCGGAGCGATTCCAGAGCATCGTGACGTCAGGCAGTGCACTCTGGCCAAAACAAATGTGCTTGAGCAGTGTGAATTATGGGAATTAAAGAGTATTGAAATATATGCTAGTCCTGCTACTAAACAAGTCGATGTTTTTAATATAGTGGGCTTTTATATCATAAATTAAAGGCCAGTAGTTGGCCTTCATCCTCTAGTGGCCCGTAGGACATGACCTAATTGTCCTAACGGATAAAGTGTCCCTGTTTGTTAGTAGTTACGATCATATGAACGGCCTCCATTTATATCTCATTTTCTTTTAAACCTTAAGTGATAGCCGTGCAAATAGCCATTAGGTACACTGTTGCCAGATCTCACGATTTTTCGTAAGATTACACGATTTTGGTCTCAATTTCACGATCTCACGAATGAGGTAGCAATTCTTACGAATTCTCTCTGTAGTATTTTACTTGAATTTTCAATCTCCAGTTAAATTTAAAGTTGGTGTCAAATGATAGTTTATAAAAATCTAAGACAGGAATGTAAAATCGGTTTTCGTCTAAAATTAACCGTTTAGGTTTTACAGCCTGTCAAAGTTGCAAAAAGTCAATTTTCAACTGTCGATATTTCCAAAACAGTTGAACTTGGGTATAAGTAGTGTATATTACATGAAATCTGCTCAGAATTTTACGTAGAGTCCAAATATGCAATCTCATACAGCGTGTTCCATTTAAAATGACAAAGTTCTGTCGCATACCTCATAAACGGAGCACCCTGTATATTCAAAAATAGTTTTAGCAAATTCATATTAGAGTATTAAACAACTTTGTAATTTAAAATTTTTTTCTTGCATCACCCTGTAAGGAGATATTGTCCGATATCGCACTAAGTGGACACCCTGTATAATAAATTACAATCTCCATCTCCTTGACAGTGTGACGAAGCTGAACGTTTGAATTTTTTCATATTGTCAACCCCCATTCCGATTTTGATACCAATCAAACGATGGTACCACCCCCATCCAAATTTTCAACAATTAAAAAAAATATATAATTTAAAGGTGATGTTTCCATATTTCCAAAACATATATAACCCGTACCGATTTTGAAACTAATTCAAGGGCAAAATGAAGAACCGTTGTGATCACGTTTCAAACGATGAATAGGTAACCCAGTTCCCCTCATACCAGGCATCGTGCCCAGCGTTTGTCAAAAGAACCTATTGTAGATAAGCGATTATCTAGGTTTGCGTTGGTAGAGGACGCAGCGCACAGCACATCAACGCCATCAACGTACTTTTTGCAAAATACTTTGGCAAAGCTTTTTAGACAAACTATTTGTTATATATTTCTTATTTTTTGACAGTATGTCTAATTTCATAACCCCTTGCATGAGATTACGCACAAATTTAGTAAGTAATAAAGTAATATCATGTAATATGCATTTTTTCAAGCAAAAAATAATAAAATTTAGAATTAGAACTTTCTGACGAAATGATAAATTAAATTAAGT